CATGAGAGGAGATCCACTGTGCCGGCGGCATCCAGCACTCCTTATTGCACAGGCGGCCCTGTAAAATACTGGGGCGGGAGCATTAGAGGGGCCATAATTCATACAGAGGGGCCAATATAATGATTAACTAATGATATGCTTAATCTGCAAATGACGAGGAAGGAGCACACTGGGAGCCAATCAGCTTTCAGCTGGAGCTAGTGCTCCTGTGGCTCCGCCCCTGAGTATATATCCTGAGTGTATTTGCCAGGAAAGGGGCACACCGGGAGCCAATCAGCTTTCAGCTGGAGCTCATGCCCTTCTGGCCCCGCCCCTGTATATCTGGCAGCAGTCACACACCACCAGTCGCGCCAAGTGGACTGGCCTCGCGCTGCACGCCCATTAGGCACCCAGGCCGAGAGCACTGCCTGATGCTTGTTAGCACACATGCAGCACAGCTACAACCACTGCAGCCACTGCATAAACCGCCGGTCGGCAAACGCCATCGGCCCAGATGTGTTTAGAGATACTTCCAGAAACTCCAGAGGTGAATTCCTCATAAAATAACCTTTTTGATTTTGTTTTAGTGAGGCTAGAAGGGGGTCATTTCACCAAGAAAATATATTAGCGACATGTAACTAGCTATGCCAGGATGAAGTCACATTGATATTTTTTGCCTGAAAGCTGGATATGAAGACTTCTTCTGTTTATAAACATAAACAGCAAAGCGTTCTGGTGTTTACCGTGCTTAGAAAGCTATTCTTTTTTCTCCTCAAGGAATAAACAAGCTGAAATGTTCTCTATTTTTGTCTGCGTTATTTAATAGCATAAACCTTCTTTGCAAAAATAACAGTTAATTTAATCAATTGCAGGCATATTATGAAGGAGGACATGAACTATCATAAATCCGTTATTATAAGTTATCTTGTACTAAAGTCGATTTTTGTTGTTAACCAATTAAATTAGGTGCGTGTGTCGGGTGGTTCCGCGCTTCCAGCGATCTCGCCCTATGGAAATGGCCAACAGAAACACGACAGGCTATAGCGCAGCGTTTCCGGCTGGCGTCCCTCTCGCTGGGGGGCTTGCCGGTGTGCCGGGAGCCCTGCCAGCGCGACATGACGGGCAATCACCGCTCACACCCCAGGCCAGCAGAAAGAAAGGACGTCTGGTGTGATCGGCCTCTTCCAAAGCCCCACACCCAGATGAGGGTCTGAGGGAAGCAGCCAAGGAAGAGGACTCAGCGTGGAGTCGTGGAACGCTAGGAAGTTTTAGCTGTTAATATCCTATTACCGTTTTAGCCAGTAATATAGCTAGATAGTTTAATGACACCCACAGGATATTCCTCGGGTCACAAGCTCAGGATATTTAGCTTCTTTCTGGAGAAGCTGAGGTAAAAAGGTGAGATTTTAAAAATAAAGTAAACTGAACAAAAGATTAGTTGAGCAATGAACTATAATCTTTTTTTCATTAATTTACACATGACGCTACATTTTCCTTAGCACACGCTGCTTAAATGACCATCTGGATTAGCATAGCTGAGGGTCAGTCTAACATTTTCTGAGAGGAAATCACGTCCAGCTTTTTCCCAGCATCCCAGATGTGCCCGTGTTTCTGGTCAATATTATGAAATTCAGTAATATTTGAAGACTGTTTTATTACTAAAATGAGAAGTGGATTTTAAAAGCATTCCAAACTGAAGGGTTCTTAAATGCTTAAATAGCTCTGCTCTTTCATTTCCCTCATAAATATTCTCCAGCAGGTGAACCCGAAGCAGCTTTCGGCTCCGAATGACCATCTTCACAGACCTCAGGAGAATCCAAGCCCTCGCATTAATAGGATGAACCTTTTCATCTGGCACACCAAAGTGCCGTGAAACTTTAGATGTTAGTTTCACGGTGAAAATGCACGGTCAGAGATCTGATAAACTAGCACTTCTGACAAAATTCCCCGATTCTCACACGGCAATTGGCAGAGTGTACAAGAAAATCTCTCAGCCAATCCTAAACAGCACAATGTCACAAATGCATACAATTTAAATGAACATAAATACATTTATCATCCATGCAAAAGAATTACCGCTATTGTTTTAACGGAAAATATGTTGGTTTGCATTGGTTTGCATTGCTGAAGTGTCCTACATGATTTGTGCAATGCCAGACTGAAGAAGACACTGACTTTTATCTCCATAGCCAGTTAGATGTAAGAGACGTAAGATCAGAGAGCAAGACCAGCCAGCGCCCCAAAACCTAGAGCGAATGGGGGTCAAGGGCCTTGATTAAGGACCCAACATGATATAATTACTGCTGGTCAAGGGATCAGAACCCGGGACCCAGACCCCCCCCCCCGTGATATCACACCTAAGAGAGCACAAACCCAGGTCTCTCTGTGCTGCTGTTTTGGTGCCCTTCTTCACACACATGTAAATACGCAGGCACATTGGTAAGCCTCACGAACAGCACACTGCCTCAGACATCAGCTCTTCATTCCTGTGATATGAAACTTCACATCACCGTCAACGTTTTCATTTTTTCTCCATCTCCTGGCTACCTGGCCAAGCTGAGACTGGCAGCCATTCACATGGGATATTTCCAGCTAAAACTCTATCTGCTGTCACCTCAAATTCATTTTGGAAGGAAATGAAACAGAAATGGGACTTCACTTTCTTAGAATCTGGGAGGATGTTTAAAAATATATTGTTTGTTTACGGAAAAAAAATTGAAGATACACTACAAAAACTGTCAAGAAATATTAGATGCAAATTACAATTGAAATGGAAGCAAATATCACTGTAATTGCAACAATCCCAGTAAGAGTTCATGTCTTCTTATGGCTGCATTGCTGGTGCCAGTTTCTAGTTCCTATGTTAAGGAGATGGAGAGGGAGAGCAGCCCAGACTTTATGGAGCTTGGAGTGACCCTTCTGGAGTGACTCAACTGGAGTGACTTGTCTAGAGTGATCCTTCTGCAGTACCATTTCCGTAATGTTGAGACACGATGGCTGCCTTTTCCCATTATCTGTATAGTAATTCATGTGAAAGTCATATTTCTGATTTCATACTGGTGCTCATAGAAGCCCAATAAATGTGGATACTTCATTTTCAGCTGGAATACATCCTCTTACCAAAAATGTTATTAAATTGATACACTGCAAAATGTCATAACAGTTGCACTTTTGTTAGCAGAAGAATTGTCCTAATTTTTCAGCCCCGTACAGCCAATGGGAACGCAGCACCGGTGACGTGTCAGCGGACAGAGAGGTGGAAGTCAGAAATAGCTGGTGGTGGCAGAGGATGTTCATTAGCTGTGACAGTGCTGATGGCGTTCAGGCGGGGGTGGCGGTGGCCCTCCTACGGGGCCCATGTCTATCAGGGGCCGGATAGGGAGTCCCCCCCCAGGGGCTCGAGAGCTGTGACTAAAAGGGGGCGGGAGGGAGCACAGCTGGACGGGGGCAGCGTGGTGACAGGTGTCAGTGTGGTGACAGTGACCCACAGGAGGTCCTGTCACACGTGTGCCACCCAAAAAAAAAGAAACATTGCTCGCTCTAATCTACCGACTGCTAGTTAACCGACAGTAGAGCCCGTTAGAGTGAGGTCAGAGAGCAGAGGAGCGTGCCAGTATTTCTGCATCGCAAACCCACAGGGTGACACCGTCACGGGGCTTAGTAAGAGGGCGGAAGCAGCCGGCAGCTTCTTAGTGCTGTTAGAAATGTAATCAGCGATAAGGCCGAGCAGAACAACTAAAGCCCAGGATAACAGGCCATTAACATGCAAACATGTAAACAGCGCGGAAGCCGATGCCACAGGGACTGAGCGATCAAGTGAGCTCGCCCACGTCTACAGGCAGGAGGCGCTGGTGGTGCTGAATGTGCACTCTGCAGAAGCTGGGCCGGAACTGGGGTCACCCAGGGAAGGGGCTGTCATGGAGAGGAGGCCGGAAAACACAGGGAGCTCCGCACACAGGCAGGCCGGGGGAGCCCCGCACACAGGCTGGCATAGGGAGCTCCGCACACAGGCCGGCACAGGGAGCTCCACACATAGGCAGGCCGGGGGAGCCCCGCACACAGGCTGGCACAGGGAACTCCGCACACAGGCCGGCACAGGGAGCCCCGCACACAGGCCGGCATAGGGAGCCCCGCACACAGGCCGGCACAGGGAGCTCCGCACACAGGCCGGCACAGGGAGCCCCGCACACAGGCCGGGGGAGCTCAGCACACACTTATGCTATACCATAGCTTATGAAGTTCCTATATTTATATATATTTATATATATAAATTCAATGTCATAAAATGCCAAGATCCTCTTGTTCGGTTGTTGAGATGAAATCATGAGATAAAGTGTGGGGGGGGAAAAGGAAGTAATTTCACAGCTTGCAGCTCATGTTCTTTGACAGTTTGTTGTTTGGCCAGATTAAATGCTTTAGAAGGATTTTCTCTCTCTGCTGTCTCTAAACTAGGTGATGTTTGTAGGCTAGTGCCTCAGCAGAATGTCCTCTGAAGGCTTTTCTGCTACCCTGGACGGGATGCCAGTCCATCACAGGGCACAGGGCAGGGGACACCCTGGACGGGATGCCAGTCCATCACAGGGCACAGGGCGGGGGACACCCTGGACGGGATGCCAGTCCATCACAGGGCACAGGGCGGGGGACACCCGGGACGGGATGCCACCTGCAGGACCCCCACTCAACATGGGGAGAACATGCAAATACATCATGGGGTAAACACGCAAACTCTTCACGGAGAGTACATGCAAACTGCACACACTAGCACACGTGAGCAGCCGGGAAATACAGAGATGCCAAAGCAATCCAAGTTAAACTAGAAACTATCCAATGAAATCAAAAACTACAGGTTCTCTGGTTTCCCCAAACGGGAAAATCTTTATGCATATTATCTTGTGATGTTTCAGGCATCCAGAACAAAGCAGCTGCTATTGTTGCCTCTGCACAATCATTTGGCTTGTAAAATATAATCAAATAATGGTGAGAGTGAGCTGTGAGTGAGCTGTGAGTGAGCTGAGAGTGAGCTGTGAGTGAGCTGAGAGTGAGCTGTGAATGAGCTGTGAGTGAGCTGAGAGTGAGCTGTGAGTGAGCTGTGAGTGAGCTGAGAGTGAGCTGTGAGTGAGCTGAGAGTGAGCTGTGAGTGAGCTGAGAGTGAGCTGTGGGTGAGCTGTGAGTGAGTTGTGAGTGAGCTGAGAGTGAGCTGTGAGTGAGCTTTGCTCTAAGGCACCATGAGTTTACGAGGGACTGGAAGTGAGTGGGTGTGGCAGAATCAGAGCAAAAGTGCCCCAACTACGGAGGTGGGGGTTGGGGGGTGCCACCTTATGGGGACGCCTGTGTCCCCGGAAGACTCACGTACCTCCTCTCCGGTTGAGCTTGGCGTAGCCTGCAGCGTAGCCGCTGGCGAAGACCGACGAGGCGGAGAATGCGTGGTGAGCGAGGGGCGTGGCCAGGACCTCATCACATTTCACTGGAAAAGGAGATAGAAGAACAAACATGAGCACATGGAGGATGGGGCGTGACAGACAGGAGAGAGACAAATGTGCGTGACGTGTAAATATGTAAACGGCACGGAGATGAGAGAGCAAAGCCTCCACATGCAGGAAGTGGGACACACAGCAGCTCCTTGACCGACTGGGCCGGACGCCCGGTCAGCCGGGGCAGATGCAGGCAGAGAGCTTCGGGAGCAAGGCACGCACGGCCATTAGCTTAGCAAAGCAGCCACCACCCCCCCAACCTCAAAACGCAAGGTCACACTTCTCTGCCTTTGACAGAGTAAAGGAGGCCGGCCAGACTTCAAAACAACCTCTGAACGTGAGTATGACTGGCTCGTATAACACAGATCATCATGTCTACCAGCATTACTGACTGACGTAAACCGTTATTTAAACACACTCAAATAATGAGACGTCTTAAGTAACGCACATTATAACGAAACGCTGCACTGCGATTCAGCCTCGCCAGCGTGAACAAGGCCACTTGCTTATCAGATTATTTAATCCAAAACTAATTCTAAATTTGTTTTCAAGACAAGCATTACATTGTGCTTCTATTTGCTACAGGATTTGGCATGTAATCGTAATTCTTTTCAATTCTATTGCAAATACTTTGACTAAATTAATGGGAGAGACACTGTGATTGAGGTCCCAGATTGGATTGAGTGAGTTTGTACTGAAGTTTTTACAGAGAACTCAAACTGCACCATTCTAATAAAAGGCCCTGCAGCCTGACATCAGGAGCTCTGCCTGTGAATCTCCTGCTCTGTGTGGGTTTTGCTCACGGCTGAGTCTGCCTGTCACCTACTCCCCAAGTGGCCGCCTCACACGCCTCCTCCAGTAGGTAGGCTGGAGCACCTTATTACACGCCTCTTCCATTCGGAGAGATGGGCCAGAGCACTGACCTCAACGCCATCCAACTGCTTTTATGGTATAAGTAACCAGCGAGGAATTCAGTGATGCAATGGGCAGTGAGTCCTCGTAATGTTACAGGATCGGCTAGCTGGGACATGGAGAGCAGTGAGTATGGTGAATATGCAGTGTGTGCGTGTGCGTGTGTGCGTGTTAAATATGCAGTGAGTGTGGAAAGCATACAGAGTTTGGTGAGCATGCAGCGATTATGGCGAGTATACAATGAGTATGGTGAGCATGCACTGAGTATGGTGGACATACAGTGAGCATGGTGAGCGTATAGTGAGTATGGTGAATATGCAGCGAGTATGATTAACTTATAGAGAGCGTGGTGAAAATGCAGTGAGTATAGTGGACATGAAGTGGACATGGTAAGCATGCAGTGAATCTGGTGAGCATGCAGTGAATATGGTGAATATGCAGGCAGTATGGTGAACATGTAATGAACATGGTAAGCATGCAGTGAGTATGGTGAATATACAGTGAGTATTGTGAGCGTGCAGTGATTATCGTGAGTATGCAGTGAGTATGGTATGGTGAGGGTAGATTAGTGTAACAGCCAGGAAAAGTCACATGTAAGCACAGGAATGTCTCCAGTTGTCCAGGGACTGCATGCATGTTTGTCTTATTTAATGATGATAAAGAACAGACTGTCTGGGGAACAGATCTGAATGTGGCACTGATGGCCCCCATCACATCTGGCCTCTTCATTTCACTACCATTCACTTTGCAGAGTCCTGATACAATGAACCAGAAATACAGACATAAGCTAACCATGAATGAAATACACACGCCTACTTATCAGCCATAAAGGTATAAAATGCAAGGAAATCAATCATGTGGCCTTTCCTTCATGGTGATGATGTCCGTCAGGCAGCCGACCCACAAAGGCCTTCTCTGCAGAACTAGGGGAGGCTGCTTATTACCTGCTGATGCCAAGCCTATATTTACCTGACTTGTCCACAAAGAGAGTAACCAATCAATCAAAAAACAAATAAATGGCTTTCAAATGGGGCTCACTACAAAGGCTAATTTCATTCATTTGTAATTTTATTTACAGCTAGTTTCTAGATATCCACCAGCTAGATATAATTGATTATTATAAAATATAATTTATCGTCACATGAGCCTCTATGTTTGTCATTCAATTCAAACAAAATTTCCTATCAAACACTCTATCTGTCTACCCAAATATTTTTGTATCTTTGCAAACAGTTCATAAATGTCTACAAATTGGTTACAAATTAAATTTTATATAAGCTTGTTACTCATTTAAAGAGTGTATAAATGATTCATACAGATGACATGCTGCTCTATATAGTGTTTCAATTTACTCCCACGGTTATTAGTCCAGTTAAGCAATCACTCTGTGCCTGGGGACTGATCAGATTCAGCAGTTGATTATAGGGAGGCTGAGAACCTCCTCCCCACACTGCGAAGATCTCCCCCTGCTCTGCTGTCCTGTCAGCCCCCCCCCCCCTCACATCAACACGCTGTGCAACGCATAGGAACGAAATGTGTCTCCTTGGATTGCAGCGCACGTTACAAAGAAACAGCAAGAGATACAAGTAAGTCACAGGAATTTATCTGAGGGGACACAAATTGTGTAGCAGGACACGCTAAATTAATGCATTAACCAGTAACTAAGTGCTAGTTATGTACTGATCCCATGCTTGTTCATTAATCATTAATCAATCATGACAGTTCATGTATTCCGTTCAGGAACTATATTAATAATGTAACATAGTTCCTCCGTGCAATACATGAACCATCATAATTGAATGATGAACTAACACTTAGTTAATGCTTAATCAATGCATCAAGTAAGTGTGTCATTTATTTGTGTCCCCTCAAGTGAAGTGTTACTTTATAAATAATAATATAACAAAACAGTGAATCCAAAACAGAAATAGACTGTGGGCTGGAATGTGACAGTGCAGCCAGAGACGCCACGACATGCTAAATGAGGGGGGCGGACAGAGCGGCCAGGAGGCATGCAGTGCAACAGTAACAGTAAAATTAGTCGGTAACACCCTACTTGACAGAGCACAAATAACATAGTATCATGCCATGCCTTTGTATTAATTAACAACAAACTAAGTCATAGTCACATACTGATCTCAAATTAATTCATCATTAATGAATTGTGACATTTTTGTCTCAAGTAGTTAAAATATTTGTTACTATATCTAATTCCGAAAACCTTTGTGAACAACAGAAGGAACAAGTAATGAATAACACAAGTGAAATACTGATGTCATGTTTGTTCATAATGAATGAATCATGATGCATCTTTTATCTCAAGAAGCTACTATATTTGTTCATGATTCATAATTTGTAATTCAGTAGTAACTAAGTTATTAGTAAATGTTTGTGCCCCGTCAAGTAAAGTGTTACCAGTTAGTCTGTGCATAGTGACAAGTTTGTGTGTTGGGGGGGGGGGGGGGTTGTGGGGTTTGTGGGGGGCAGAGTTTGTCAGTGTCACAGTGTCAGAGGACCCACAGTCCCTCAGCCTAGAGCAGTGTTTCGCAACCCAGTCCTCAGGAAACCCCAGCCAGTCCACGTTTTTGCTTCCTCTCAGCTCCCAGCGCACCTGTACCAGCTATTCGGTGTTCCTGATTGGCTGGGAGCTGGGAGGGAGCAAAAACATGGACTGTCTGGGATTCCCTGAGGACTGGGTTGAGAAACACTGGCATAGAGGTTCTAACCCTGGTGCCTGGTGATGGTAAAGGGACCGACAGAAATACTGGGGTGGGGGGTCCCACCAGAACCCACAACCGACCCGAGTTTGGGGGATCCTTAGCTGAGCGAGCGGTTCAAAAAAATCCTGCTTCACAGGATTGCCATTACAGAATGAATGAATTTGAATGTTGCTGCTATAGAATGCCAGGACAGGAAGTGACATGCTCACTATGAGTCAGCCCTTAGGATTACAGGTACACTGTAGTCACATAATATACTGAGGTACTTATCAGACACGGCCTCAATAATTATAATGTAAAGACCCCCCCCACCACCTGTGCATTACATAATTGGTTTATTATTCATGCTGTAACACCCATAGACCTAGTGCTAGTATATTTATCATGATTCATGCTGAACACCAAAACTATACATGGGAAATTTATTCTACTGTAATACAGTAAAGAATGGTGCTGTGACAATGCGCATCTCGGCATTTACTGCCACCCTGCTTAACTGCGTCCGCTCCACGGGGTCTGACATCACAGATACGCAGACACACCGTGCACGGTGACAGCAGGAAATGCCGGAACAGGGGCAGAGAAGGATGCTGAGGTTGGGATAGTGTGGTCGCATGTATAACCGAAACAAACAAATATCTTACAGAATGTTACGTATAACCGAAACAAACAAATATCTTACAGAATGTTACATATAACCAAAACAAACAAATGAATCTCTTTAACCAACACAAACAAATGAATCATATAACCAACACAAACAAAGTAATATCTTACAGAATATTACTTTATCCAACTGGTTTTTGTCCTTGGGAGCTCATTCGATATTTCACTGACAAAAGTACATCCAAATTGCCAGTTGCTACCAGTATCCAATGCTGTAGTCCACGGAGTTTTTTTAAATTTATTTGTTTGTTTGTTTATCCAGCAACGCTGCCGTCTTCAGGAGGAGCAGCTGCATCCAGCGCAGACATCGCTTATCAGGCTAATCAGACATTCAGCCAAAGTGAGACAGCGCCGATGGCACTTCTCCGAAACGACTGCATGTGGACGCTGCATACCAGGCACACAGCGCGAATAAAGTCGGCTCGAATGAACGAGCACTCTCCGCTTTCTCCCACGGCCACATATCAACTCGTACTGAGAAGTGTAGCACAAAGGAGCTTCGAGTAACAGATGCAGCGGTCCAGGTTGTATTGTGCCACATGTTGTGGAGGTGCTACGTGTCTGACGAATGGCCTTAACAGTAAATAAAAGTTGAAAACAAAAAGAAACACCTTGAGTTAGGAATGTATGCCAGTGAAATGCAGCATTTACAGGCCATTGTGTGGTCTAAGAGTATCAGATGGGGAATGAAGACA